ATATATATATATATATATATATATATATATGTGTGTGTGTGTGTGTGTGTGTGTGAACTATAGGGTAGAGCTGGACTATTATTCCAACAATTGATTGTCACAACAATAATCAAACCTAATGTATCCAGTTAATTAGAATTACTATTAAATCTTTTATAATGAAAATAATCATCTAATGGAAATTAGTTGTTCCAATTATTACTGTTTTTGGTTATTCCAACAGTTGATAAATCATCATAAAAACAATAATCTTTTCAAAATTAGCTTTCCCATTATTCCTGTTTTCGGTTATTCCTACTTTCCAAGTAACTAAAATATTGCCATTATATTTTTGTTTTTTTGCTGTTAAATACAAAGCTATGTAATGGGCTAATTGTACTGTGCCCACTGTGGATATTGAAACCCAATTCTAACATTATAAGTTTTTGTTGTTTTTACTTCAAGTTTGTTAAACTTTGAACTAGCATGGCCTGATGACTGGAGGGTCTCGAGTTCAATTCCTGGCCATGTCTTTGTTATGGCAAAGCTACAAAGGCTATCTGCCACTGTGAGTAACTTTGAACTTCTGACTAAAGAGAAAATGATTGATTGACAGCGTCCACTGCCAACTCTTCAGCTACATAAGTGCCAGACATCCTTAAAATACCATATAGTATGAAAAAGAAACATTGGACATCATTGTTTAGATGTGATAAGTGTAAATGAATGTAAATTAAATGTTATCTTGGTAAATTTTCACACCTTAGTGATTGTGTTTAGAGCAAACTCTTTCAATATTCATAAAAACATGAATACCATGACATTTAACTTAATATTTGCTAACGTTCGATTTAAAACACTGGATTTCAAAGTGGCTTCATGATTACAGAGCTTAACTCGCAGATGGATGTCTTGCATTCAAATCTCAGTTGAGTCAGGATTTTTCTTTTTATTTGTTTAAAATTAATATATTTACAGCAAGATCGTTTGATACATTATAGATTAAATCAAGCATGTTAATGTTCAAATTAAAAGATGGCATGTTTACAGCATCGAGCCACCTCAGTTTTCCATTTCAATTGAACACTTCTGACACCATCTATGAAATAAGCTCTAAACTGAAATTCTGAATAAAATTCAAAATAGTTCAGAAACAGTGCAAGAAAGAAAGTGTCATTTAGCAAGAGAAAGAAAAAAATAGATGGATGGCATGACAAAATAAGAAAGCTTAGCAAAAATTAGGATAACTGAAGCTGAGTAAAAGCAATTGACATGGTGAAATGAAGCTCCTGGAGAAACAAATCAAAGAAGATAAGTTGATGCTGAAAGACATGCAAATGAGTTCTGGCCACTCTGTGTCTTCCTCGTGCATTGATTGGGTACATTAGCTAGTCCAAAATACTATATTATTATTTTTTGTATAAGATACTGAAAATTTGGTTACAATTACACTAAATTTTAATAACTCAACAGGTATCATACCATCAATGTAAAAATGAACCATAACTGCAGTTAGCATAGAGAAGTTAAAAACTGCTGTTACTTATTGACATCTAATAGTGGGTAATTGGAAAAAAAAAATTTATATTCAGAATAAGCACAACGTTTCAATCACTGGTGTGGTCATTTTCAAGTACGAATGCAGAATGAAAAATGAATTTGAATATTACTATTTGGTGGGAAAAACTCATTCTTCTCTTACTGTTACTGGTTAACACAGAAATACTATTTTATCTCACTAAACTTAATAGTTTTTATTCTTATTCTTTCCTTAATGGTTTTCAAACTCTCTAAAGAAGTAACAAATATCATAAGTTTTGTTTGAGAAAATAAGTTGGTGTTATCCTAATTGTTAATTTCTTGTTGTTTCAGTTTAAATTAAGGCTACTTGAAGAATATCCAAACAATACTAGATTTTTTATATTTGCTAAGTAGCCATTTGCCTGGGTTGTTTTGAGTCATTGTGTAGTTATAGATACAACATTTAAGGCTCCAACATTATCTCAAACACTTATGAACATGTAATGGAATACTGAATAGTCTGGAAAATTGCACACAGTACTGTTGCAACAGGTGACTGATAAGTGAATAAATCTTTCATTGTTTTTAAATGTTAAACAATGCAGTTGCATTAACTTGCATATATGGTTCATTTTCATTTAAGTAGTTTTGGATTGAAAAAAGTAACTTAATTCTAAATTATTGTATCTGAAGTTTGAAGAAAGGGTTTACTGTGGCCAGTCAATCAATTATCAAAAGCCATTTATCATCCAACTCTACGACAGAGGTTGTAGGGCAAGTGCTTGAGCTCCACTCAAACAAATGTGAAAACATGAGAAAGTGTATTGTGAGTGCACACAATATAATTTTTTCTTGGTTTAATGTTGGGTGGGATTTGTTTTTTAAATACTGGAGAACCCTACACGTGATTTGTTATTAGAAGATTTTTAATTTCTTTGTGCCTTTTTAAATTGTGTTACATAACTTATGCACTTGGTGGAATTAAGGAGCTTAATTCTTATTCAAATGTTTTAGCTCAGAGATTATTATTCTTTGACCCTAATTATATAACCCAACTTACTTTACAAAAACTACTGTGCCATTGTGGATCATAGATACATGTGTGTTTGAGGTTCCATGGTTAGGTTTCTATGTTTGTTCTATTTCCTGAACATTTCTATCAGTACACCATTATCATTATTACTCGGATAGTTTCCTACCCACATTGACAGGTTTATTAATATTTCAAACATAGATAGAAGGCTCTTTGCTGTGGTTATGTTGAAAATTTAGATATGGATGGCTTTGTTCTACTTGTTGCTTGCTTTGATAAGAAAATGGTGCTTAAAGAAGTTTTTTTTTATTTATTGGTGGCAAGTTTTTGTGCATCTCAGGTATATGCTCATTCCCAAGATTTTTTACGTGTGATTTTCTTTAATTTACTTAAAACTTCTGATGTAGTTAGCCTATTGGGTGATGAGTGAACTTTAGTGTTCTTGCTTTAAAGTTTTTTCATTCACTTGTGCCTACTTTGAATTCCTTATTTTTTAGACCTTTCTTTTAAGTTTGAACACCTCAACTTCATACTTAATTGCTTTCTTTCTGACTAACAGCCTATTGTGAATTTTTATTGCTGTTTCAAAGTAATCAAATTATTTAAAAATAAAAAGACAACCTCACAACTAGATGTATTTTGCTTATTTCCAAATGCTTTTATGGCTGCTAAGCTTACTTTCCATGTTTCTTGGTTGAACTTGTGTAAAGTTATGTTATGGTTTGATATAACTAATGGCTGTTATCCATTATGATAATAGATCTTACATTGTAGTTTAAAGTACTACATAGCTGCAGTAGAACTGATTGAAGTGTTATGTAGATCAATACACATAAAGTGAATCTTTTAATGAACTTTTGGCATTTTCTACTGTGTATCACATGGTTTTTAAGATTTTCATTTTTATGGATGTAGACCTCATGTCTGAAATAAAAGTAGACTTTTCTATCATGCTGGGCAGCTGAGCAACTAACTTACCATTCAGTGAATATAGCCTCTATATCTTTTGGGGTCCAGTTTGATAGCCATTTCAAAAGGCTACATGTATGTCAGTGCTTCACAGTCCTTTTCACTGTTAAAATTCTAGCACTGTTGAAGAGATATCTGTTTCAGAAAGTTCACTAAAGAATTTGCACTTTTTTTAAATTAAGGTATGGCTGTGAATTTTTATACCTGAAAGAACCTTCATTATGTGATGATTAAAAAGTAGAAAAAAAAAGTCATTAGTTCATGAATTGTAACTTCATTTACCAACAATGTAGATGAGAGCTGTCAAATGACAAGATGCAATAGATTGTCATTAGTTAGATGTTGAACAAACCAAAATTGTATATTTGGCATTGAAAGGATATGTTTGGCTGTAATTACATTAAGATTTTGTTTACTAAATGATATGTAAATTTCATATGCAAGTTATGTATCTTAATGTGGTATTTTGATAATTTTACTTGCTTTAAATTAGTTTATATAGACAGTTGAATTTTGAGATTTTTAACTATTATTGTGATCACATAAAATATTATTGGTTTTCTTGAAATAAGTTTTTCCAAGAGCATTATAATTAATGAACATAATTTTATGGAGTATTTAACACTAAGAATTACTAAAATGTATAATTGCTACTCTTCTAGGCTCGAGTGTGGCAGAGAGACTTTAGGGATAGAAGAGCTGTGCAGCCAGATGTAGGGTATTATACAGAGGTGAGGATTTTGTACTTTGATATGATGGATTTTCAACCAAGTGAAATAATTTGCAGATATTCATTGGTTAGTTTATATTCCAATAAAGTCAACCTCCTTTCATACATAGCTATCATGATCTTTTTTCTGCCCTCTAAGCATTGCTGAAAAAATTTTCTTGCTCAGTACTCCAGTCTATATATCCCACCAATTTCGCACCACTGTTAAACATGTACATAGCATGTGACTACTCTCCACCAATACTATTGTGCCACCTATATTTGTGCAGCTAGCTTCCTCTGGTATTCCCACTCAATCCTCACTTTCTCGATTGGCACAGCATTGTTCGGATGTATGTTTTTTGCATGTGGCTCCCATTTATGATTATGCTTCTTTGTCATTTAAATTTTTTTTCAACGGTTTTATTTTACTGAGTTTGCATTAAATTGTTTCAACAATTTTGTTTGTTTGTTTTGTTACCGAATTATAAGAGATTTTAGTATGAATTCATGATTCAATGCCTCAACTACAGATATTCCTGTTACAGTTGAAAATGTTACTGATATGACTTCCCAGGAATAGGGTTTTACTTTATCTGCAGAAGAGGTACAGGCCTTAATTTGCAGGAAGCTAGATTCATATGTTCAGTCAGCGATTACTTTTTCTTTTCAACTTGACAGTATTTCTGAGGAATTTTTTCGACACCTTCTTATTTTGGTCTGTCACACTTTACACCTCTTCAGAAGTTTTTCCATTTTCATTTTTACAGCTAGTTAATCAGGTTGTTGGTTGATGCATATTTTGGTTTTGCTGTTTGTTCAAGACATGGGTGATTTTACTAGTTTTCTTTTTCCTGCTCCAATTGCTGTGCTGCCACATCATTTACTTTGGTGGAAGTTTGTTCTTCTCCTCATTTCTTCATATTGCTTCCATTTCTCTCAGTGGTTCTGTGGTATGTTTTTCAACTTGTACACTTCACATTATATACAATATGGTGGATATACCTGTGGTAAGCGTGGCTCTGATGCCCTTTGTGTGGCTTTGTCCTTCTTTACACATGGGAGATTTAAGTATTTCATGTCATCAGTACTCAGACTTTGGTAAGGTACATATTTATGTCCTTTGTCATCTAAGGTCTCCAGACTCCCCACAGCATTTATTTTCCCTTTTTTTTTTCTTCCAGTGGAGCAAGGGAGTCCTTACCACTTCCCAGTTTTTGGGGTGGTGTACCATGGAGGCCTTCTTCTGAGTGAGTTTTGGAATTTTAATTTACCATACATACTCATCATTTCCCCCTCAGTGAGAAGAGGGCAAAGCTGGTTTCCCTCCTTCCATTTCTTCTTTTTCCCAGAAGGACAACTGTTGGTTGGAGCAGGACCATCCTACGTAGGATCCTCCTCCTAATACTGGGTTCAGGATAACCTTGCCTATTCTTACGGTTGTGTGCAGTAGAGGCCTCTCTCTTAACATTAATTCTAGTTGCAGAAGGTTCTTTCCCTGCTTCTGTGGTTAAGTTTGAGGGACTTTGTCTGCCTAATAATACCAGCAACATTATGTACATATACTGTGTCTATGGTTGAGAGAATGTTCCATGTCCTCCTCGTAATTCCGGATGCAGGATGTCTCTTCCCTACATTTATGGTTGGGTGAATTATGATTTCTGCTCATAATACCAGTTACAAATATTGCCCTGTTTTTTACGGTTGATTCGAGGCAATGCCACGAACCTGTAATGCTGGGTTCAGTTTGTTGTACTTCTTGCTTCCACATTGGTTTTTGGTAGTTTGGCTGACTGCCAACTTCCTCTTTGTAATCCCAGTTGCTTGATGTATGACACACTGTGTACTTATGGTTGAGGTTGATGAGTATATGTAACAATGTACACATGCCCTAGCCACTGTGTTTATGTTACATTATTTTTGTTTTTATTTGTTTGGATCCTAAGCCTTCTAATTCCAAGGTCTAGTTATGGAACCTTATCTGTCCAGTTATGGATGGGTATCTGCATAGTTCATTCAGTTTATATTTTGCTATGGATTGCCCCTCTCTGAACACATCCTTTTTTTCCAACCATATCAGATTCGGTTCCTGCTTCAAGGGTGAAAAGCATAACTTTTCAAGATGTAGTGGAGAATCTCACGTGTGGTTTGATTTCATCTCGGAGCACACCCATTCATTTTGGGTGGTCACTTTCTGCTTGGCTTCAATGTTGAGTGCCTCCACCAAACCCACCACTTTTGCACTGTGGGATTCTAGATTTGTGTGAGAGAAGGTAAGACTGTATTGGAAGTTAACATTTTCTTACGATGAAAATATATTTTCATTAGGTACTTATCTCCTTTCACACCCTTCCTCCCCATTACTGGTGTTCTTCTTTTAGAGCCTGCCAATTCTCAAAAGTGAGGATTGAGTGGGAGTAGCAGAGGGAGTTTGCTACACCAACATGCTTTGTGGGCAGAAAGATTATCAAGACAGCTTTGTGTGAGAGGAAGTAAGTATATGTCTGTAAATTTATGCAAAATGGAAAGATGAACTTTAAACAAGTCCTTTTTCATTTAACAAATTATTGTCAATTCTTGTTATAAAGAAATTAACAGCAAATGGGGTACTATGCTTATTATCAGATTTAATTACTAAGAACAAAAATATAAGCGTGTTTATTTTAGAGAACCTATTCAGATATTATAAATGAGATATAGGTTAGTATTGTGTTGATATGCTGTACGTGCATTTGTTTTATATATGTTCCCAAAATGCACAACTTGTATTGTTATAGCTAATTCCTCCTGTGAGTATGATCGAGAATCCAATCAATGCTGTCACCACCAAATTTGTGCGTACATCAACAAATAAAATGAGATGTCCAATCTTCTGCGTAGCAGTAAGTAACTTTGTTGTTTAAGATTCATAACATAGGTAAATTAATATGTAGAATTATACACGGTCTTTTCTCTACTTTAAAACATAGAGAAAAGTATGTGTATAATTCTACATAGTAAGTAACCTTCATAAGTTTTAAATCATGATGCTCACTTACCATGATTTTCATTTTAGGTACAACTAATATGCAGTACTTTTTTTTAGAATGTGTTTATAAAATGTTCAGGTATATTTTATTTATTCTGTTTTTATATCCAAGTGAAAGTTGAAGTATAAAACAATCCCCTTGTAATGTGTTAGACATTTGTAAATATTTTATAACAGTGGGTATCATGTAGTCAATACTGATTCAGATATTTTTCTTTATAATTTATAGTTATAAAATCAATTCCAATTTGGTAACATAACTGATTACATTGTGTTCTTTTTAGTATCCCATGTTAATGCAAGATACCAGATTGCATTTTGTCCTTATAAATACCCCATTTTAATATAAAATACCCAGTTGCATTGTGTCCTTATAGGATACCCTTGTTACTGTAGAATACTACAAGTATTATTTTATTCTTAGGTTACCAAGTATTCTTCATGGATTAGTGCAGTGGTTTCCAACATTTTTTTATTCTGAGTTTTCCTCTTTAGAAGATGAATATATTTTCATTAGAGGTTTATCTCACTACGAAATGATTTTATAAAATACTTTCTTCATGGTAATTTTTTCTATCTAATTTAATATCATTATTTACATTTTTTTAACTATGTATTTACTGTTTCAATCCATGTACTCTTCTTTTATGAATTCTTCAATTTAATATTTTAAATCCACCTATTTTCTTCCTTATTTCTTTCCTCTTAAATTTAATCATATTCTTTTTTGCATTCGCTCACATTCCCATATATGTTCCATTTCTCTTCCTTTTTCTTACATCTACATTTCTGATCTACTTTGTTTTCTATGAATGTGTCTTAATCTCCATAATTTAATATCTATCTATATATATGTATATATACATATTTGTTGTTATCTCGAATATTTCATCGCTTCAGTTTTTATCTTATGACAGTATGTGCAGTAAGTACAATGTTGTTCTGCACTCCATTTCTCCAACTTTTGTTCTGTCTTTATCTTTATTGTTTCTGTGCTTCCAATATTCTTCTCATCTCCATTCCCCCCTTTTAATTCCTCTTATTTATTAATCACATTTTGGACATCTTTTTTCATTCGTATTACTTCTGAAACATAGCTCCTAAACCATTAATATCTTGTATTTTTGTATTCAATCTCACTTTTGTACATAATACAGAGTATTTCTGAATTTCTAATATCCATATTACGTATTTTTCCTGCAACCTCTCTCCTTTATTCCATTTTCATGTTTAAACCTCATATATTACCATTTATCCAATTAACATATCAAACAATTGAATTTATTGCAATTCTGTGTGTTATACTGTATGCTATATTTAAAGCTCTTTGGCCTTTGCTGTATCATCTGCTTCTTTTGTGTATTTCTGTTTGTAAACCAGTATTCCAAATATTTTATATTTGTTTGCCACCTCTGTATTTTGATCCATTCAGTACTATTTCTCTTCCTTCTTCTTGTAATTGAAAGATATAATCCTTGGTTTGTTTAAGTTCAGTATTAAATTGTTGCTCTGTAGATATCTTTGACTTGCCAATCATCTTTTTATATCTCCATATATGGGCTTGGTCATTTTGACCAAACTTGTAACTACCATGAAACTATACATACTACACTGTATAACATTGAATGTAGTAAATGTAGCTTCATGAAATTTGGCAAGCTTTTAATAAAGAAGTTTGTTGTACACAGAAAATTGGTTATTTATTATAAGGGACAGCTTTCTTTAAACAAAAGATTGAGTTACCAGCACCTATTATCACAAGTAATTTGTTTATTTAATTTTTTCTTCATTTATGTTTTCTTATCTAACCTAACAAGTTTTTAATTTTTGCACTTTATTTTTATAACAATAAATAGAAAATATACATAAGAAAAAGAAATTTAGTACATGCATGTGGAATCTTGTATTTTTCAAGCTTTTGCACTTGAAAGAAGGCATCCACACTCACTAGGTAGTGTTGTTTCACAAATTATTTTTCTACAATTCAAGTATCTAATTTATAATACAAAATACTTTCATTCTCAGAAAAGAATAGAATGTCCTTAGATTAATATAATTTAATTATCTTTTTTATGTAAGCTATAAATGGATTAAAATAATTCAGATAGCTGAGTGACTGAGCTTCAATGATGGCAGACAATGAAACTGGGAACAGATTTCTCAAAATCTGTCACCTCAATATTCCCAAATTTGTGGAATGTAGTAAATTGGAATTCTCTCTTAGAAATAGTCTAATAGATAATGTTAGAGTGAGTTATTGACATTTTTTGAAAGGCAGGATATGTTAGGAGGGGCATGACATGTTGATTTCACTTTATTTAATAAATCTCAGTTAAGCAAGAAGTTTAGAGGCTATAAGTTTACATTTTAGCTCAATGATATCTATAAGTGTGTAAATTATGGGAAATTTAGATAATATAGAAGTGGAAAAAAAAAGTACAACTGGTCAATTCAAGTGTGATGAAGTATTGTATGATACAGAGAAGTTAAGATTGAGAAATTATTTAAATATTTCATTTTGAAATTAAGAAATTAAAACTTGTATTAAATTTGGGGTATAAAATACATTTTGATGCTGAGTTTATTGACCTATGTTGATAACATAGTTGTGACATCCACACTTTGACCCTATCCTTACCCTTAGAGTTAAATCATTTATCATCTGCCACTATATATGTATTCTGCAAACTTTAAACAGTAAATCTTACTTTTTCTAATCACAGTTCCACCAGTTTTCTTTTCCTATATATGGGATGATGTATCACTAATATTGGGCTTAATGGATACCCTTGTCTAACTCATTTTCATGTCTTCCCTCATATATATATATATATATATATATATATATATATATATATATGTGTGTGTGTCTGTATACTACTTCTTACGTTCTTACTTATTACTTGTTGTTAGTTTAGTTAGTTAAGTTAGTT